ACAATAATAAGTGCTTCATTTCTTGATCTTGTAAAACACACAAAGACACTTTATCTTAGCCTCATGTTTCTATATTAGATAATCTGGGATAAATGTTATAAATTCCTGAAATTTGAGTTTGTGTTACAATTTAAATATAATGTGTGTTACAAAGAAATTCTATTTGACAATCACTTATCAACTCTGTCCTCAGAATATTTTGTATCTTTGTTCTGTTGATCTTTATTTTGAAACTTCAGGAGTCCTTGTTTGTATACTTTAATTTAGATGATTGCAGTGTGGAATGGGCATATTCATAAACATAAGGATGGGGCTGACAGCTACTATCAGAAGAACAAGAATGAGTCCAATTTCCTGTTGTATCTTTAGTGCCTTGCATGGTGCTAAGCTAATTGACATTCATGAGTATTTGTAGAAAGAATAAATAAATGAAAAGGTATCACCTCCTATTTTTTAAAAAGTACCTCACCAAGAATATATGATCAGAAAGAGTTTAAAGGGTAGATGATTTCTCACTTCTTTTTTGTTTAATTCCACCCTAATTCAGGGGCTTGTGTCAACTGAAGCCACCATTCACATATGAACAGTCTATAGATTTACTACTATGTGTTTTCTTGAACAAGTCTTGCATATGCTCTCATTTTGGTGGCAACCAGGTCCCTGAAAAGCTACCCAAATCCCTTACTTGCTTGAAAGCCAAAGTTTATGTTGTCAGACATTTGACTGAAAGCAGAAGTCTTTTGTTGATAAAAGAAATGAATTACTGTCAACCTCATTTATTCCTCCTTCCTTCCGTCTGAAATGTTGTCAGAGTTCTTTGGGTAATTTCGTAGCTGTTTTTCCACCATACCATAATGGCAAAACTATTTACTAAAGTGCTGGACTTCTTAGGACTCAGGATAATTTCTTATACAGCAGCTTGTTCTCTTTACAAGGAACATGATAAGGCCGGCGCCACGGCTCAATAGGCTAATCCTCCACCTGCAGCGCCGGCACACCGGGTTCTAGTCCCGGTTGGGGTGCCGGATTCTGTCCAGTTGTCCCTCTTCCAGGCCAGCTCTCTGCTATGGCCTGGGAGTGCAGTGGAGGATGGCCCAACTGCTTGGGCCCTGCACCCATGGGAGACCAGGAGAAGGCCGGCACCGCGGCTCACTAGGCTAATCCTCTGCCTTGTGGCGCTGGCACACCGGGTTCTAGTCCCGGTCGGGGCGCCGGATTCTGTCCCGGTTGCCCCTCTTCCAGGCCAGCTCTCTGCTGTGGCCAGGGAGTGCAGTGGAGGATGGCCCAAGTGCTTGGGCCCTGCACCCCATGGGAGACCAGGATAAGTACCTGGCTCCTGCCATCGGATCAGCGCGGTGTGCCGGCCGCAGCATGCTAGCTGCGGCGGCCATTGGAAGGTGAACCAACGGCAAAAGGAAGACCTTTCTCTCTGTCTCTCTCTCTCTCACTATCTACTCTGCCTGTCAAAAAATAAATAATTAAATTATTTAATTAATTAAAAAAAACAAGGAACATGATAAGTCAAAACCATAGTTACAGTATAACAAAAGTGATCTCTGAAGGAGGTGGATAGGAATGATCGGATTATGTGTTTTTATTAGAAGAACAAATGTCATGAATTGTGCTATGGGATTCCTGAAAATTGGTGTGGCACAGGAAAGCTTTGATGGATGTCCTCCAGAACCATCCCATCTGAAGTGATTTTCACTTTGGCTTTTATCCTTTTAATTATTTAAATAAATAATTTAAATTAATAACATAAAATAAATTATTATTTAATTTATCCTTTTAATTATTCTATGCTAATTATTCTATGCTTGGGAATCCCATAAATGTATCATTTAGGAAAAAAAAAATGAATGCAAATAAAAGTTGAAAACTACTATTGTGGCAGAAAAAGCATTAAGAGGCTTTGTTTCCTCATTGTAAACCATGCATGCATAGGAATGGACAGCATATGCTACAGAAGTCATCCCTCTCCTTTCCGGCGTCTGTGATTGAAATAGCTAGTTTTTCTGCAAAATCAAACTGACCTCAGGATTTTTCCAACATTGTGGCCCAGGATGTCAAACTTAGCACATGAGTTGAAACGTATTTACTTTCCCTTTCTCACAGTGGTAAGAATGTGAACCAGAAGGCTAAATATAGAATATGTGTTTAAATAACATTACTTTGAAAACATTAGAAAATGATTGTATCATGTGACCACAAGCAATTTCCCTTAAGGTAGCAGCTAAGAGAAACACCTTCAGCTAGAAATTTATTAATGAAATAAAGACTGACATTAACTTCCTGCTGTGTGCCAGGTAATGTCCTATTCGTTTTACAAGAACTAATTCACTGTTGTTGAGCATTCTCTCAACAAGCCTTTGAGAAAAGACAGATCTCATCATCCCATTGCATGGATTATGAGAACTCAGTTCTTTGTATATTATTTTTATTTGAGAAAATAAATTTCTGACTTTCAGATAAACTACGAAGAAACAGTAAACTCTGGCTATTAGTGGATTTACTATTTGGTATTTTGGCCTTTGGAAAACAATCTTACAAGTCATATTGTAGGCACATCATGAAAAATATGTTCTTCAATTGTTTGAGTACCATTTTAAATTCTGTGTGTGAACAGCCTGCTGTCTAGTGTGAAATAGACGCAGAAGGAACCTAAGAACCAGGAGTTGATTTTCATCCAGTGTGCACTGGTACAGTTGTACTGATTATTAAAATTATTGGTACATGTTTTTCTGGCTTTTAAGATATAGAAAAATTATACTGATTGGTAAATAGCTGTCATCGCAAGATGACCACAGACCTCTCCTCTCTTCTGACAGTTTCTACTCTCTAGGTTTGCCAGATGAAATATAGGATGTCTACTTGCATTTATATTTCAAATAAATTGCAAATAACTTTACAAGTTTAAGTGTGCCTCATGCAGTATTTGGCACACATTTACACAGAAAATATCTGCGATCTATCTTAAATTCAAATTTAGATGACCAACCTTTATTTTTATTTGCAAAAAAAAAGTTGATAAACCTAATATACTAAGTACACAGATCTATTCACAATTCACCACTAACAAATGAAGCCCTGCATTCAGGGGCTCTGCAGGTCTTTGCTCTAGCTTCTAGGCCAGCCCAAAATCTTTTCTGACCAGTTGGTGTACTTGTTATCTAAGTCATTAAATGTGTTAATACAACCTTCTGACATAGCTATGGTGAATGTCAAGGATCTATTTATATTATCATATTGTTTTTTTTTTTTTTGACAGAGTGGACAGTGAGAGAGAGAGAGACAGAGAGAAAGGTCTTCCTTTGCCATTGGTTCACCCTCCAATGGCTGCCGCGGCTGGCGTGCTGCGGCCAGCGCACCACGCTGATCCGATGGCAGGAGCCAGGTGTTTATCCTGGTCTCCCATGGGGTGCAGGGCCCAAACACTTGGGCCATCCTCCACTGCCTTCCCTGGCCACAGCAGAGAGCTGGCCTGGAAGAGGGGCAACCAGGACAGAATCCGGCGCCCCGACCAGGACTAGAACCCGGTGTGCCGGCGCCGCAAGGTGGAAGATTAGCCTACTGAGCCACGGCGCTGGCCTATCATATTGTTTTCTAAAATTTATCAGAACATTACTGAATTATTTTTATACTGTACTGTTGAAGTATACATTTTTCACCACAGGGTATGTTTCCACTTAATTTTTTCCTATCTGAAAGTGGTTTGGAAATATATACATTTTAAAGCAATCATGTCCTTAATATTTGTTTCCCAAAGTATATTCCATAAGTTTCCAGTTACTAGAGAATTATATTTATTTCCAGGAGAAAAGTTCTCATGTGTTAGGGAAATGGTGGGTTAAATCCTCTTCATCCAGTTCTTTTCAATTATACATTTTTGGAAATCTTTGCATCTCCAGAGCAAAGCCTTATAGGTGGATGTGGAAGTATATTAATTGTCTTTGTCTGAGAGTGTATTTCACTGTTCTACTGTGTATGTGTGTATTTAAATTTATGTGTATATAGAGCACATTTCCTGACCTTATTTTAGAATTATTCTTTCCGAAGATTGCTGCCATTTAAGCTGGCTTGATGTAGTCACTCCTTTTCTCTTTTTGTTCATTCTGTAAATGGCTCCAGGTCTCCCTTAGCCCGATAGATGGCACTACTGGGCTCCAGCAAAGGTTACATGCTCAAAAAAGCAAATAGAAATGTGGATAACTGATTTTCTAAACCTGATTCTTAAGAAACTGCCTAGTTATTTTCAATCTACTATTAGAGTTACTTTATATTTATTCAAGACAGAAAGGTTGATAGCTTCTGTGGGAAGATTATGGATTTCTGTAGATGTCTCAAGATTTCTATGCCTGTTTTCCTAAATGCATAATGAGAATAATGTTGCTTGAATTATGTCTTCATTGAAAAAGACGCCTGTATGTGTGGAACTGTGAAATGGTGGAAGATTCTACCTGATAATGCATTTAAAAATCTTAGAAACCATTAAGTATTATTTAAGTTCACAATATAACAATGGATCTTCAATTCATAGTGGCTCCTCCACATTTCTGCTTTTAGTTTTCTGGCTTTACTGGCTCGCTATTAGTGAGACTATTCTGTAAACAAAGACATAACACTGCTAAAAGATACTAAAGGAAAAGTTAAATTGCTTCCCTTTAATGTAAATAACTAACTCCTGAATTATTTGCTTTAAAAATATGTGTTTTCATGTCAAAGATTTTCTTCAAGATATTTGCTTTTTGGCCTAAGATTTACCAGGCTTTACATCCCAAGCTGGTGCTGCAGATGGCCCTAAGTAGTGCAGTGAGGGAGAACCTTACCTCTTTTTCCCCCTGGATCTGATGCATATCGATGGCAGGAGATTTCAAGTGAGTAGCCATATCATGTCAGTATTTCTTTATGCTCGCTCACTGTACAGAAAGACGGCAAGACTGATGGAGCTGTTCGTGCTGACGCCTTTTCTCTCTCTCTTGTTCCCCTGCCGCCCCACACAGAGAGTGCAGCATCCACACGAGTGTCCCACTTGTGGAGGCTTTGGTTTCCTTCCCTGCTCCATGTGCCATGGGAGCAAGATGTCAGTGTTTCGAAACTGCTTTACCGACTCTTTCAAAGCCCTGAAGTGTACAGCTTGCAATGAGAATGGCCTTCAGCGTTGTAAGAACTGTGCTGGTTAGTTTTTACCAAGAAATCTCTGTTTTTATTAACCAAAGGCAATAACTTGGTTTATATGTTTTTTTTAAATCATGTTTATGTTTTAAACAATAAACTTTGTTTATTATAATGATTTTTATTTTGAATTTTTGCTGTGACCGTTTTCACTGATATATTAAATAAATGTTGACTTAACAATTATTATGTGCCAAGCCCTGTGCTAGACCCTGATTTGCAATTTGAAGTGAGTATCCAAATACCACCCAAAGATATACAAAGTCTGATTTCCTAAGTGTGTTGATTTTCTAAAGAAAAGACAAAATATACCTTTTATAATGCCACCCCATGATCAAGAGTGAATTAATGCAGTTCTTTGGATGCATAACCCATGTCTATGTATGGTTCAGCTGTAGGGATGGGGAGAGCTCTCTGGGGGAAAACAATGATCATAATTATACTTACAAGCCTCAGGACTTATTTTAAAGCTGCAGAACAGTCTTGAAATTGATCTTAATGATCAATCATTAATGCTATCAAATCAATTTTTTTCTTCTGGAGAGGGGGTAACACAAATGCTGCCAGAGACTTGCTTGGAGTTATTTATTAAATATTTGCTTTTTGCCTTTGTCACTATAAGTGCTTTCAGAAAGGTGAGTCTTCATTATACTCCTGCACAGGACACAAGGACTCTGTAGTTTGAACACATGGTGGGTAACACTAGCAATGCATTCAACAAATTAATATCAGCAGATATGCCCTATCTACACCACAAGAGCTGCACAGTAAGCCATGGGAATGCAGATCAGGAACCAACTGACATGAGTTAGAAAATGGTTAGAAAAGACTTTGATGAGCAACTGATATTTAACCTGAGACATGAAGGGTATTTGAAAACCAGTTAGTCAAAGAGCAAGGGGTAGTGCTTTAAGTAGCAGGGCTGGGGAAACTTCTTTCTACCAAGGACCATTTGCATATTTATAACATCATTCATGGACCATATAAAATTATCAACTTAAAAGTTAGCCCCCTGTAGATTTCTTGAATTTGAATACCACCTGAAATTGCCTTGGTGGGGCCCAACCAGATGATTTCACAGACCCTTTACGTCTGGTGAGCTGCACATTCCCCACCCCTGAAAGAATAGCATATATAGAAGCCTGAGGTCACAGAAAAGTTGTGCGATTGACTCCCAACCTATCTATGCTCAGGAAGGATGTGCCCAAGAGGCCAAAGAGTTAATTAGAGATTTCAGCGATGCCCATAGTGTGAAGGCAGAGTTGCAGTTTCTGGTGGTAAACACAATGAATTTCCTTGGAATCTCAAAGGGTCCCTTCATTAGAGTAAGACCAAATGAAAAGTCTACATGTTAGCTCTAAGAGAAATTAAACAAAGCAAACTTTCCCTTAGAATGCTGAAAATCAAACCGTGGTTTCCTATCTATTAGTATTGGACTGCTAGGACAGAAATGAACATTCAGATTAGAAATAGAAAGGCATTCTTTGAATATAAAACATTATAGTTAATGAAAAAATATTGAATACTTTCCAATACTATCAAGAACAATAAATGAATGTTCAATTTCATTATTTCTTTTTTTTTTAATTTATTTATTTGACAAATAGAGTTAAACAGTGAGAGAGAGAGACAGAGAGAAAGGTCTTCTTTCCGTTGGTTCACCCCTCAAATGGCCGCCATGGCTAGTGCTGCACTGATCTGAAGCCCGGAGCCTCCTGGTCTCCCATGCGGGTACAGGAGCCCAAGAACTTGGGCCATCCTCCACTGCCCTCCCCAGCCACAGCAGAGAGCTGGACTGGAAGAGGAGTAACCGGGACTAGAACCTGGTGCCCATATGGGATGCTGGCACTGCAGGTGGAGGATTAACCAAGTGAGCCACGGCACTGGTCCCTCAATTTCATTATTTCTATTAATTTCTATTAATAAATTAGAAAAAATTAAGCTCATTATTTGTAAATAATGTTGTTAGGATGTAGAAAATCTAAAGGAATCTATAAACTACTGAACTAGGAAACAAAGCTAGCAAAATTGTTAGATTCAAAGTCATTCTACTAGAATTATAGACGTAATATGCAAGTGACAATTAGAAAATAAAGTAATATAATTGCAATAATATCAGAAAATGTGAAAACGTAATACACTTTTACAAGATTTGGTAATATTTAAACATTGAAAACTACAATGCAGGCCGGTGCCAAGGCTCACTAGGCTATTCCTCCATCTGTGGAGGAATATTTTCTAATATTTTTGTCATTCTCAGGTCTCTGAGAATTATTGCCTAGTGTTTTGTACAAAAGACACAAAGTAGAGATGCCAATCTAGCTTCTTCAAAGTGAAATGAAAACTTAAAGACCCTTTCAACAAGTGATCTGAATGTGACACAGTTTTAGATTTTGTGGTCATTTCTCCTGAACAATAGTAGTTGCTTCGTTCACAATTAATTTGATGGTAAGTTTTTCATGGTACTTGACTTCTAAAATGATTTTCAAGGCATTGAACTTGGTTTCATAGAATAAATAGCTTCCTTTCCCTTTACTTTTATATTGAATTCATCTACATAATATTTAGGCATCAAAAGCTATTGTATTTCATTATAATGAATACGTTATTTAGATAAGTATACTTATAAGTGCAGTTGTATGTTAATGGATTGGGGAAGAAAGAGCACCACTCTTAGAGTGTCTGTTTATTTGCTGGTAGCAGAAGTGTGCAGGTAGGAAAGGGGTGGTTCTCCGGGTTGCAAGCATTCAGGAGGCAGGAGGCATCAGGAAGAATGACAGAGGGAATAGGGCGCATCTGCCAACCTTGAACGCATGTGAAGTGAACGTTGGCTGAGAAGCATTAGCTAACTTCTGTGGCTGTGACAGTCACCGGGGGCATTGTTCCCAATATGCTCAAGGTTATTCGTCATCACCTTCACCAGCCTTCAGGCTCGTCAGCAGCCAGTATTGCTTAGGTACTAGCATTTCTTACACAGGCCATGTTTGACTGGGCAATAAATTACTTTGGAAAATATGCTGCTCTTTGCAAAGGTGAAACAGTCCCATAGCTTCCTCATTTAGAAAGATAGTCTCACTGAACAGACTGTTGCAGCAGACTTTTGCTTTACTGCAAAAATGATTGTAATGGATTTCTATCACGAAGCACTGCTCTTCAGAGGACCACTGGCCTCCTTGGGAATTCTTTGAGAAGCTATTGTAATTCTACTCGCTCAGGAGAAAAATTTTATTGACTGTAGCAAAGTATCCATGTCTCACAATGCAATTCCTCTAGGAAAAGTAAGAACACTCCTTCTGATGAGAATGTTTGGGCTGGCTTGGCCCTATTCTGTACTTTCTGAATTCTCTCATTAAACCTAGCAGAGAACACACTGGGAAGTTCAAAATGCACAATTTGGTAGCAAGGTGACTTTGCACAGGAATATAACTTTCACAGGAGAATATATGATGCTTGCAAAGCATTGCTTATTTGTGTTAGAATTGGAGCCTAGTGTTAATATTTATTGATATCCAGAAGAAAATGCATATGGATTGGCTGCATGGCACAAGCCTCATTTAGCACACTGTGCCTTTAAGTCATTAACCTTTATTCTCTATATTTTTGTCACCTGGCCACCTTGTTAGAAGATTATCAGTATAAATGATATCTACATATCCAAAATAGAGGCATGCTAATCAGTTAGGAAGCAAAATGCTTGCATAATAATAATAAATTATGGTATGGTGCAATGATTTATCAAAATGAATGAAAGATGTTAAGACTACTGGAAAATAATTTCAAATTTTTTTGCTTATGAATTGCTGGTTGTTTTGATTTATGTTGTGCATATTAGTGTGCATCTGATGACTAAAGATTCTAGAAGGAGCACAGTATAAAAGTTAAGGTGTTTTCCTGGAAGACCAGATGTCATGTTATTGCTGTGAAGTTCACATGTTTGCTTTGAGTTTTTGTTTCCTCTGTATGCTTAGATTTTACCCAGAGACAAAATTATCAATATATTTTCTGTCATTTTTTTTTGTTTTCTGGCTAAGAAACATTGTAGCATGCCTTACTATGAGGAAAGAAAAATATAATTAATTTTCAGAATATTCGAATCAATAAGTTTGGCCCAAATGTTACGTCATCCAGGAGAGGTCCCTTAACTATCCCAGTGTTTGAGAGCTTTCTGTCTACTTGTCTGTCTCTCTCTCCGCCTCTCAAATTAAAAACAAACAAAAAACTTTTGTATAGTATTTTTTAAATAGCAACATAAGTATGATTGTGACATGCAATTTCAGATACTGGAGGCTACTTTCTTTATAATCCAGTTACTGAACAATATTCTATGTATTCATTTTTATCTCCAGAATATATGGACTAAGGCAGGAAGCTAGGTTGGGACTATGGAGCTGGAAGTCACACCCACACGCCCCCATCCCCTTAAATTCTATCTTCCTATTTGTCCATCAAACTACTTCACTGGTGGGGGAGGTGCCCTGGGAATAGCCACTCCCCATCTAACCTCGTAAAAGAGGCTGACAATGAAAGAGCTTTTTTTTTCTTTCATCGGAGACCAGCAGTGGAGGAGGCACTGAGGTGCTGTCCATCCCTCTACCTCCCCTCCTTCAGCCCTTTTCCCCTTCTTGCCCATTTCCTCCCTGTGTGCATGTGTGTGTCTATGTGTGTGTTCACTCCCTGACCTTCTGGATAACATTCAGTTTGTATATGCCAGCATTAGGAATTCCCTTCTTCATGAGTGGCAACGGCCTGGAATAAAAATTAAACCCCAATTCCTGCACTCCTCTGATACTGGGAATGTCAGTGCTGCTCAGTAGAGCTAGAACTTCCTGGAAGGCTCAAAATCTGCATGCCATAAACATGTATTGACAGCAAAATGGAATCATACAATATCTGAATTATTTTTGGAGTTTATTGTTGCCTAAGTTTGCTAACACTTTTCTCACTAGTACCTTTGATATTTGTCTAATACCAGGAATCTTCTAATCTATAATCCAGAGAGATAATGCAAATAATATAAAATATACTAATCACTATTTGAACTAAATAGAAAAATCTTAAAAATAAAG